GACTGTCCAGCATCAAGCTTGGCTTGTTCATATTTATCGCGTTTGAGCTTTTCTGCATCGGTCAAGCCTCTGCGTTGCCTGTTGCAACCGCCCTCAGCTCCACGGCAATTCTTGGGGTCACGCGAATACCGGAGTCTGCGATGGGCTCTGCCCCTTTCGGCCTCGGCACTCAGGTTTCTCAGATCTCCCTCTGGGATTATTGTTCTGAGCCGGAGCAACATTCGACTTATTCCCCGCAGCCGGCTGGGCCGGTGCGGCAGCTTTAGGCTTCTTATGATTAAATGGACATCCCTGACCTGCGTTCGGGCAGGTCTAGCCCTTGCGCACGAACTTGCACGTCGCCTCGCCCATCGCCAAACCACTCCCCATCACATCCGTGGGTTTCCCAAGACGCGCTGCCACCTCTGCCGGGGCGGCTTTGCCGTTGGCATTTCGACGATTGTCATAGTTATTGCCTCCACCTCCACCCAATCGCGTTTGTCGTGCACGTTGGCTTAAAGTACTCTCATGCATGCTGATGTTCCACTCTTCTTTGCCCCGCAACATCATCCCTTCAATCTGTTCCATGAGCCATTTGTAAGATCTTACGCCTTCTCCCAATTTATCTCTGGACAAGTCATAAAGTTGGCAAACGAAGTCTAACTTCTTAGTCTTCCTGCAGTGCTCGATGAAGCGTGCATGAATCGAAGCTCTCATCTCATCAGATGGAGGTCGGACGCCGTAGAGCTGTTGGTAAACATCTGTCCATTCATTATAGACATGATACAGGTCAGCGTCCGGCTTATTAGGGCCGACGACTACCTTGACGGTGTCACCCGACATGCGATGTTGACCTAACTCCAATCTAACAGAACACCAATAGCAAATGGCTCGTACCATCTCGCGTCCCGTCAAGAGTCTCTCTTCGTTCTGGGCGCCGAACTCCATTCGACTGATCTGCTGAAGGAAGTGTACGTGATGACTGGGAAGACTGCGATTCCTGCACATTTTGGTGAACTTCTCAATCAAACTTGTAGCGATCATGATGTCAATACGTTGGAAGCGAAATTGGTCTTTGAGCTGTTCGTCATCCACCGCAGGATCCATAGCTTCCGAGGTCCAACGCTGCGCTGCTTGGATCTCAGGAGATGATCCAGCAATCGCGCGGACTGCATGCATCTGCCACTCCCGTATGTTTGTAACATCGGGAATGTCCCTCAGATCAACTTTCTGATTGTTTCCAATGTGTCTCCACTGGTCCAACGGGGTACTTTCATCGAGGCCTCCCGGGCCACGTGGCCCTCATGGGCCCTGAGGTCCACCACGACCACCTCCACCGCCTGGGGATCCAGGCCCCCCCGGACTCCCTGGAGGCGGCTTCTCTGGCCGGTCGCGGATAGCATCATTAAGTGCCGACATAATCGCAGTACTCGGTGCGACACTACTGTCGCCCCCATCTGTGTCCTGCCCCGCCCCGCCAGACGGCTTGGCCGCTGGCGGTCTCACAGGTCCGCCCTTAGAATGGACGATAATTGACAAACGTCATGTCGTCATTGGCACCTAATTTCATGTCGATTGGTAAACCATTCTCGAAGGTACTCGGCTTGGCCGGACCTTCGATTGCAGGACCAGGAACAGCAAAGTTGGGTCGCATAGCAGGCCTCACGGGCGTTTCTTGTGAAAGCAAAGGCATATCAAATGAACTGAGCTTCATCACTTCTCTTTCTGATGCACCTGCGCGTGCCAGGGCCTCATCTTGCTCTCGGACGTCGACGGCTGACCTTTCTGAGCTCAGTCTAATATGCCCCCCAGCCTGCTCCTTTATTCGCTGAACATTTAATTTGTCAGCGCTACACTCATCAAGAAGCTTCTGCTGTTGGGCCCGAAATTCGTGATCAGCACTGCGTCTTTGCCATTGCCCATTCCACTTCTCCTGTTCTGCCGGCAAACTCTTCTTTTGAGTACATGTAGAACTCCGCTTAGTGCTCACATCGAAGTGACCTTTGCAACCTGGCAGTCCACAAGTGGCGCAATCTCCTACTTTCGGGTTGAAACAAACTGAGCAACTCCCCCCATCGCCCCGTTTTGCGGGCTGTGGCTGCGGCGCAGCCCTTACCTGCAACATTGGCGGCGCCACGCTCACTACGGTCATCAAGCCAGACTGGGCCGGCACGGACGCTGCGCCGGACGGCTGAGCCGCCGGCGATAGCCGTCTGCCCACCCCGGCCGGCGTGGCCGGCGGGCGCGTGCTGTCGCTCAATTGCACACGCTGAAGAGATACTCTGGCGTTCTCATGTAACTTGAGCTCTTGTCGATATTGATTATTCTGATCAACTATCGTCGCAGTTACAATCTGGGCGTTGGCCGCTTCCAGCCCGGCAGTTTGAAGTTGTTATTGGAGCTCCTGCCTTTCTTGAACTGCCCTAGCTGCGGCGATCCTCTCTCCTTCTATTCTTGCCGCCGCAACAGCGGCGGATGCTGCATTTACATCAACAGACTGATTGTTTGCCGTCATGACGGCTTGCCGTTCGGAAGCCATCATCTCAGCATACACGTCGTCAGCTTCTTCTTCCGCGCGCCGCTTGGCGGCCGCGGTCTGGTGGGACATATGTTCCACCAGTTCTTGTCCCCGCTCTCTGACCGCCTGGGCCATTGCGAGTCTCTCAGCCTCGAACGTCTTCCGAACGTCCTCAACGACTGCATTCATTTCTTCTCTTTCCAGTCGGGCTTTCTCGGCCATCTGAGCATCGCGGGCCAGGAGTTCTTGCTGGGTTTTGGCCTCAACATATCTAGCCTGGTCGTGCATCGCCTGGAGGAGAAGGTAGGATTAATTGTGCCCTGCCATCGGCATGCAGTCTACACACAACCACTGATTGCTACAATTAGGACACACGTCTGAGCAATTTCTACACACTGGGCGTCTAGGGGCCCCATCAGGCTTGCGGGCTTTCCCCGGGCACCTGTTCTCCGCCCGGGGCGGGCAGTCAGGGCCATAGTTCCAGCATGTCTCGCGCATGGATATCGCGCTGTTGCTCCTCGATGTAGATCGAGCCCCAGATCTGGGCATCTTGAGCCTTCCCCGGCTCGAAGCATTCGATCTGGGACGCATGTACGTACTCTCCGGCAGTCTAGCCGTTTCTCGAAGCTCCTCACCCCTTTCATCTTGTTTAACCAATTCGCCCAGCGAAGCCGGGGAGTCGATCATTTCATCGTCCTCATCTACAATGGGTATCGACGGTTGCCAATCGCCTGTGGCGACGGCAGTCCGATGAAACCCTTCCTGAAGCGGAGAGTCATTCAAGTCGTAATCCTCATTCCTTTGCTTCTTTTGTTGAGGGGCGGGAATTCGTCCTGTGATCTCCCGGTCATGCTTCGCTCGATTCGGACATTCCGTTTCCACCTCGACCGCCTGGGGCGTCAGGACACTTATCTCAATGTCCGAATCTGGTATTGCAAATGCTTCCCCAAGGGCTTCCACTTGATCATAATCAATCGTATCCTGCCCGGGGGACCACCTCTCGTCTTGGACGGGGTGGTCTGCATCCATTATCGAGGACAAATCTCGGCCAAGTGACACTTGATAATTGGCATACTCAATGTCTTCCTCCATGGAGTCAATATCGTTTCCATCACGAAGCTATTCGTCACTGTCTTGGCCGGTCTGTCCGTTCAGAGCTATCGGGATAGGGTGGGTCCCTTGTGCGTTTCCCCATCCGTCTGGGACGGTGGGGCACACGCCTCTGGACCTTTCAGCTTCTCCTGACCCACTGGCTTGGCCGGCGGCCGGTACGACAGTCCGCGTAGCAATCGGGCTGGAGTTTATCGTTTCCGAAGATACGGCGATTAACGACGATAAGGTTCCTCGTCTTATCTTTGCTGTTGTGCCGTCTCGCCTCGTCGGGTCTGGGGTCTGTTCACGATCACCGATCGGAATCCGAGAAAGAGAACCGTCTCTGGACCGATATATAACCTCTCCCCTACTCCTTCCCCGAGAGACCTGAATGGCGATAGAAGAAGAGGGAAGGCGGCCCCTTCCCGGGCCGCCGTCCTGTGGCCCTTGCCCGTCATGTTGTACAACTTGTGTTATGAGCTCGTCTCTGGCGGGCAATTCGGCTGTCTCATCATAGCTCATCCCTGTTGCGACTTGGTCGCGGGTTTCGGTTGATAACCAGTCTTTCCTCTAAGAATCGGGGTAAGATGACAAATGAAGTAGGTCTCGTGGTCATTTTGCTCAGTAGTAGAGGATACGGGAAGAGACATCGATGAAACTGTAATTAACCGTCAAGCAATTGTACTCAGGAATAGTAAGTGAGGAGGCCGGCCAGCCGACGACACGACTACGGCGCGGGAACGACCCCTCGCCGCGCGCGTGCTGGTTAGCGCGCTCCTCTCAACTCCTGCAAACACAAACAGCTGCGGTACGAAGCCGCAGAATCAAGGTGTGGCAAGGCAGGCAGCGAGAGAAGCAAGTGTAAGGAGAGGCGGAGAGGAGCAGATTTACTTTGCGCCACAGGTTGCGCCCTCGGCCGCCGAGAACAAAACGGCCTATTGCTTGCGCCGTATGCTGCGTCCACGGCCGCCGAGAATAAGACCGTCTCCTGTTGGTCGCGCCATAAGTTGCGCCCCTCGGTCGCCAAAAATAAAGCTGTCGCTTGACGGGTGCGACCAGTTCAGTTCAGAAATTCGGGCCACGCCCGAAATCACAAAGAACATACTAGGGTATACCCTCCCCAGGATGCACAAGAAAATCCAACAGACACAAAGAATATCAGGGTACCCTCCCCGAACTGACCTCGATCTTGTACCCCGGTGCGACCGCAAGGGAAGACACATGGGGGGAAACCCCGGCCTAAAATCGGCAATGCATCGCCGATAGATCGGCAATAGGCCCCCAATAGCAGGTCCGCACCTTCCTGGGCTGGGTGGAGCTATCAGACCCCATATCGGCGATCAATGGGTGATTCGGGGGGGGTCCATGCGTTCGTTCCCCCTGAGCCCATCCCCTCGGGGCGGCGGCGCTCCCAGGAGCACCGGCAGCGCCGCGCCCAGGGCCAGCTCCCGCCGGCTGGGGTCCTTGGCGCGGGCGCGGGCGCATCGCTACACCAATGCCTGTCCCCAGTGGCACGGCGTTGGCCCGACCCGACTTGCGCGGCCGGGCCTCCCACAGTCCTGGAACCAAAGAGGCTGCCCTCTGTGGGGGGCGCCCTTCCACCGAAGCGATGCCACCTCCGTCGACCCTTGAAGACGAAGGCCTTTCTGTCAAAGAACAATCTTAATGCGCGGTAAGGATGCAAGTACCTTGCACAACCATGTCGAGGCTATCTCGACCGGGGCTGGCCATCGAAAGTGGGTAACGATGGACCGAAGAGGCAAGGATGTAAGAGTAAGCATTGGAAGGCTATCAATCCTGACCATCGATTTCGAGTGTGCGCTGCTCCCTTCGGCGGGGGACCTGGTGGGGCCGAGGCTCCATAGCACGGTGTGGATGAGGATCGGGCAGACAATGCTGAGCGTGGGGGGGGTTACGCCCCTGGTCGGTCGGTCGGGCCTGGCACTGCAGCAATCTGCGCGCCGCTCTGCCGTTAGCTCGCACCCTGGTAGCCGAGGGGGGTACTGTTGCTCCGAACGCCACCCCGCGGGGGTGCGCAGACCGAAAGGCGTGGGTTGATGATGCGACGCGCGGCTTCGCAAGGTGCGTGCTCGATGAGTAAAGGCGTGGGTGGGAGGCTGGAGGGAAAGAGGGACGGAGAGGGTGGCAAGCTCCACGAGAGCAGCCGAGAAAGCCCTGTGCTCGATCGTCCACCTGCTTCGGGTTGCAGCTCCGGGCGTGCCAAGGAGCAGGTGAGGGGGGAAAGGTGCAGGGGCGGAAAAGGGGAGAGCAGCGCCCCGAGGAAGGAAAAAGGGCAGGAGGATGCTTTTGACATCGACGCACAGCTGCCCCAACGTGCACCTGACCAATGGGCGAGGCTGGTGAGTGCTTGAGGGCATCTGCCGCGTCGAAGTAACGGACCACGAACGGGTTGCACTTTTGGGCGACACCGTACCTGGAGTACGCCACCAGGGATGAGAACGAGAAGACCCAATGCCTGGAATACGCCACCAGGGACGAGTCAGCATGATGAAAATGACCACCGCTGCCAGGCCTTGGGGGCGCAATTCCAGCAGGCAGAGCACCAGGCCGCACGTGGAGCATGAGAACAACGACAGATCGCACTCCTCAAGGCCGTCCAACAGCACGTGGCAAAAGAGGCAGGTGAGCCGCTGGTCACCGAGGAGCAAAGCGAACTCCAGCACGTGGGCGTCCTTGCACGACCACGGCAGGCCAGCGGTGTGGATCGCTGGCAGGCTGACGATCTCCCAATACTCCTGAAGCACATGATCAGGGTCGCTATGGAAGCGGATGGCGACATCAGGAACACAGAATGCGGCTCCAGGGCCGAGACGAACGAAGCCCTCGAATCCACCGAAAGACGTATCCGAATATCCAGAAACACCTCCAACCTCATCATGATGATCAAAGACTGAAAGAGCAGCTTGGGCAAAAGCACCGTGACAACCAGGATCGGCGACAGCACCACCGCCGTGACCAGCATGGTCTGCGTCCACATTCTCGCTCACGGGCATGTTCGGCCGGCTCCTCCGCGGGGCGCCCACGCTGCGCATCGACAGGCCGCGGCACCGGCGGCGCATCCCCAGCCAGCTTCTGCAGCAACACGCCGACCTGCTGATCGACCGACTGCCGCGCGGCGCCGAAGAACTCGAGAGCACCAGCCAGGAACTTGGGGGCGTCCAGGCACCAGACCGTCGGTCCGAGCACGGGCCGCTCAACCTGCAGGAGGAGGAGGTGGAGGAGGAGGAGGAGGAGGAGGTGGAGGAGGAGGACGAAGAGGAGGAGGAGCAGGAGGTGGAGGATGCGCGTGGCTCGGAGAGGGCGAGCTGCTCCACAGTCGCAGAGCCCCCCCCCCCCCCAGCCTCGCTGCGCACCGCCCGTCGTCACCCGAGGGGGGCTCCATCCCCGAAGCGACGATGGTCTTGCGAGCACCGCTGACGCCCTGGGGAAGATAGGAGGTGGACGAGGAGGGGGAAGAATCCAGAGGGTGGCGGATAGGAGGAAGAGGGGGGAGGTGGAGAAGGGAAGATAGAGGAAGGAGAAGGGCGTGGAAGATGAGGCTGGCTTATTGCGAGGAGCGTGAGGAGGCGGCGAAGTCTCCAACGCCTCCTCATCGTTCCTCTCCCAAACCTCCATCTGCTTCCTCCCCTCCCCCTCACCTTACCACTACGCCTCGTCCTCGTGGGAGTTAAAGTTGAAGAGCAGAACAACGAAGATAAAGACGACGACTACGACGACGACATCAGCCACGACGACGACGACGACGACGACAGTGACCCTAGGGCTGGCCCTGGGGTGACTTGACCCCAGGGCTGGCTCTGGGGTGACTCACCCCAGGGCCAGAATCTCGAGCAGACTTCGGCCTCGGCGACAAGGAGAGCCCCCAGAGGTCCAGAGAGGCCCGAACCCTCCCACCCCCGATCCGATCCTCGAAGCTCGATCCTCGAAGCTCGAAGCTCGATCGTTGAAACTCGAGGCCCGAACCCTAACACCCCCGATCTGGTTCTCGAAGCTCGATCCTCGAACCTCGAACCTCAATCCGCAGAGCTCAATCCTCGAACCTCGAAGCTCGCTCCTCGACGCTCGATGCTCTGGGCCACTCCACGAAAAGAAGCCCTCGAACTCCGATTCTCGGGCCTCGCCTCCAGAGACCCTGCTCCGAGATACTCTGAGGGTCACCGACGGCTGCTGGAGGCCCACGGGAGGCCTCCTGCGGCAGAATTCTTTTCAGTCGCGGCTCTAGAGGTCACTCAGCGCGGGGTGGTCCTAAACGGGTTGTGCACTGGCAAATTGAGACCGAGTTGTGCCGTGCGTTGTGTAAGCTGCTGTGCAGTGCGAGCTATATGGTGTAAACGTTGTAGTGGAAGCTGCGTAAAGCAAGACATGTGATGGAAGCTCTGCGCGGCAAACTGTGTGACGCGGTGCACTATATGCGGCACGAAGTACGCGTTGGGCCCGATATGGTGACGGCTATGTTACACAAGTTCTATGATGCGGTCGACGTGATGCACAGTAAATGGTGCAAGTCAGTCCGATCAGCGAACGGGGCGCCAGCGCAAGCCCGAAGGCGGCCAGAAATTGGGTACCAAGCGAAAGCATGCCACCCCACCCAGCGCATGTGGCGCCCACGAAAGGACTCGGCAAGGCACATCTGCAGGAGAGCATCCTGAGGCTGGAAAACCGCCGAGAACCGACCAAGCCGTCTGAGAGCCTTGAACCTCGCACCTGAGTCGTTAGGCCGAAATCAACATCGAATCGACTCGATCGGATCGAGATGGGCCCCGAAGGGTCGCCCGAATGCCGCCGAAAACAAGGGAAACGATGATAAAGGGGGGCCGGTCAGGGGGGGATACCTGTCGGCAATACATCGCCGACAGATCGGCGATATGGCCCCGACCAAGAATCCACGCGCTCCTTGGCGTGGTGGGCTATCTGGCCCCTATCAGCGATCAATGGACGATTGTGGGTCGATGCATCAATTTCTGAACCATCCCCTCTTCTATCGGGAAAAACGTACTGTTCGAGTTTGAGACAGACAGAGAGAAACTAGGTGCAAAAACGAAAACGAGCACGACAAACAACTCCAGAGAGCATCGCAATACCGCGTGACGGCCGCGTGCGAGGTTGCAACGGACTTAGCTGATCATCAAGAAAATACCGAAGATACCAAATCCGCGGCCATCAAAAAAATGACCAGACATATGACAAATGACGCGAACTCCAATTGAAAATATCCCACAGAAACTGGACTGTGAAAATCCAAGACGGGCCCATCAAAAAACGTCGGCGAACCCGAATTACAGCGAACTCGAGTCCGGGCCATGACTTGGCTCTCCGGCGGCCGTTCGGGACGATCCGGGCACCCCCAGAACGCTCTCGGCAAGGCGCAGCTGCCGAAAAGCACCCCCGGGGTGGAAACACTCCGAGAACCGACAGCAAGTCCCGAACATTTCGAACCCCGAACTTCAGGGCTGCGATGCATCGCCCCCTGAGCCACCCCCCCTCGACGTCGCCTCGGCCGAGGCAGGCCGCCCCGTACCAATACCCATGCCGCTACGCCCCGGACCTCTCCCGGGGTGCGTTCTGACCTCGATTTCGAGACGAATCCAGCAGTGGCGACGACGGCCTCCCAGGAGTTCCAAAAAGGCGGAACTGGCAAGTACGTCACGAAAATATGCACAGACACCCTCCGACGAACTTCCTGCTTATCTCCAGGGAGGGTGGCGGTATACACAGTCGCTGGCTCTGTGGTGAATTCTACACACCACCGCCCTCCCCTGGATCCCAGGAACAGTCCATTACAGGATGTCAGTGTGTGGAAGCTTGTGGCGGAGTATGTGAAGGAGCCCAGGGACAAACAAATAAAGAAACACAAACAACAGGATCCGCCATATTCCTTCATATGTTCTGGGTCTTCGTCTTCCCCCCCACCTCCCACAGTTTCTCCCACATCTTTTCTGGGGAAGCGACGACAAAATCGTGTCTGTGTGTTTTTCTTCCCTCCTGCGCATTGGCACCTCTTGCTGGGCCTGTTGTCCACCACCACCACCATGAGTTGGAGGGGGGAGGGGGTCCTCCTCCCCCTCGTCTTCTTCCTCCTCCTCCTCATCCTCCTCCTGCTCCACTTCCTTCCCCCCCCCAACTTCTGGTGGCGGTGGTGGAAAACAGGTCCATCACCTCTTCCTCCTCCGCGTCCCTCCCCCCCCCTGCCGCAGGGCGCCTCCGCCGGCGGCCCCGGCAGGAACGCCCGCGGTGCGCCCAGCGCCGCCGCGCCCAGCAGCCCGGCGAGGAGGGCGCCGCCCCGCCCTCGGCCCAGCCTGCGGGGGGCGCGGCGGCGTCGTTGCCGGGGGTCGGCGCCTCCCAGGCCTCCAAGGCAGCCCAGGAGGCCTCCGCGAGGACCTCCAGGAAATCCCGCAGGGGCCGAAATCAGCATGATCCGTGGGTGTTCGAAGGGTCCAGGCACTTGTTCGGTCTCGAGTTTTCCATGGCCCAAGATGGCCCCTGAGGCCAGCAAGATGGCCCTCCCTGGGGCCTCCCGGATGGGGTCCGATGTCAGTCAAAGCTGATAGCACGGATGCGCGATGAGGATGCAAGCCCCTTGGAAGCAACTGTCGAAGCTTTTCGAGCAGGGCTGGCCATCGGAAGGGGTTTAAGATGAGCCGGGGAAGCAGGGAGGCAAGGGGTACCCTCGGGAAGGCTACCCATCCTCATCATCGGTTTCGACTCATCGCCTAAACGATCCCTATCCCCGCAGGCGTGGCGTTGGCTCCATTGCCGATTTATCCGCCGAGATTGGACTTTGAGCTTTTCTTTGCCAGTTTCGAGAGGCATAATCCCCGACTGGAGTGGTGGGATGGTGGAATCGCGATGGGGATGGAGATGGGGCCAGGGATGCGTTCAACGATACTGACTCTAGATGCCTCCTAGATGGGGTCCGAAAAGATGGGATCGGGGGATCGCGCCGCATCGCCGATGCATCGGCGACTGCGGTCGTTCAAGGTCAAAAGCTTCTGCCGTCCCTCGACCCGAGCTGGAGCGGCCGCGATTTGCTCCAAACTTCCCTGATGACCTGTGGATATACATGGATTTACCTGGATTTGCCAGGCTACTCTACCTCCTAGTATCTGAATTGACCTTGACTCATCTGGCTAGATTGCAACAAGTCGATCGGCGCAAATTCGTCAAGCCCTTCAGGACGTGGGGGCCTGGCGTCGTCGTCGCGGGCGGCGGCTCCTCCTCACAATCGGCCTGTCGGGCTTTCTTTGAACATGGGGAATACTACCCTGAGATCTGGGCGCTGCAATGCTTTCGCACTGGGCGTTTCCACCCCGTTTTGCGGGCCCCCAAACCATCACAGATCGATCCGGCTCGAGCTATGCCGCAGAAACATGGGCTCTAGGGCTCCAGTCGTGGTTTATCGCGATGTTGAATTTGTTTCGCGACGTCGGATATCAGGGAACACGGATACCTGAATGATGGGGCCCTCAGGGCAGAGAGGGACCCGAGGTTGCGTCTACTTTGGTTGGTGCTCCTCCTCCTTGAGAGCCTCATCCCTCAGGGCCCCATCTCTGAAAGGCCAATATGAACAGGGGGTGAGGAAGCGCGCGCCTTTCTGGCACCTCTTTGCGGGAACCTAAAGGTACCGATGCTGCTAATCCGCAGACCTCTCACAGGGTGCGTTCTGACCAGGATTACGAGGCGAATCCGGCGGTGGCTGCGAGGGCCTCCCAGGAGGCCCAAAAAGGAGAAGCCGAAGCCCAGGAGCTAGGGGTACCTTTTCCCCCTCTGACTTTTCGGCCCGCGGTTGCAGCCGACAGGCCGCTCAGAGATCTTCGTGGGTCACCCTTCTCCCCGCCCTCGCCGCCCCCCGCGGTGGATTGCGCCCCGCTGCCGAGGTTCCCAGCCCTGGACATCTCTCCAGGGTGCGCCCCGCGGCCAGAGCTGCGGGGATGCCGAGAAGCGCGCCCCTGGATCGTGTACAAATCTTAGCCTGCGCGTGGACCTCAGGTAGTGAGTTATTGCACGGAGGAGGTGGAGGACATGTCGAATAAGCTGCGTGGTGTAAGATATGAGCTGTATGCTCTGCAAGCCAGGTAGTGCAGACTACTGTCAGAGTGTCAGAGTGACCGGGCCGAACGGTCATCCATGGTCCCTGGGTGCGTGGCTGAAGCGGGGATCCGTGGTGAGGATTGTGACTGTTGCGTTGTTGCTGCTTGTTTGTTTGTTTGTTTGTTTGTTTGATTGTTCGCTGTCGTCGTCCCACCCGCGGCCCACCCGCGACCCACCCCGCGACAGACCCCGCGACCCCCCCGCGACCCAATCCGCGGCCCACCCGCGACCTACCCACATTGGCTTAAGGGAAAAATCGGCGCCTGCGGCGGGCCCTTTGCATGTTCTGTGAAAGTTTGGAGCCTGCGGCGTGCTTCTCCAGAGTCTCGCAAACTGCCGATGTCCCCACCGCCCCCTCATTCTTATCCGCATCTGCGGGGTGCTACGTAGTGTAGGTTATGTTGGAAACTACGTGGTGTGAGGTATGTTGCGTGACCTGTGTCTCAGACATGAGGTGCAAGCTACGTTTTGTAAGCTACGTCGTCTGAGCTGTATGCTGCCGATGTTGTGACTGGTGGCTACGTGATGAAGGCTCAGCAGTTAAGGTTCTGTGAGCTAGGCGTTGTGACATCTGCGCTGCACGCTATAGGTAGTGCGAGCTATGTTGTGCAAGCTGCCTACGTTGTGCACCGAAGCTCAGTGGCGTCAGCGCTCGCGGAGCCCTCGCGGAGCGGGCACGGGCGTCAACGAAGCAGAACCTCGGGGGAACCCGCCTCAGCGCACGGGGCGCCCCTGAGGAGCCCACGAGCGGGCACGGGCGCCCGCGCGGCGCATCCTCGGCGCACCCGCCCCGCGCATGGAGCATCCGCGTGGCGCGCGCGGGCGGGCACGGGCGCCGACGAGACGAGACCTCGGAAGACCCACCGAGCGCACGGGGCGCCCCTCCGGGCGCCCACGAGCAGGCATGGCGCCAACGTGGCGAACGGCTGGGGAACCCATTCAGTTCCCCCACAGAGCTCAGTATGTTTGGACGCCCGAAATGGGTACGGAAGAAATGGGCACAATGCCCAACAACAAAAGTTGTGCCCAACCAACAGCCGCCGCTGTTGGGCAGGCGGTCGTTTCTCGAATGGGCACAGGCCGCGGCGGCGCGGACAGCGAATCCTGTTCAAAATGAACAGGAACTGCTGTTGGGCATTGTACCCATTTTTTCCGTACCCAGGTCGTTCGTGCTGAGCATGAGAACCCGCACAGTGCAAGCACAACCTGGAGAAGCACCATCGCTTCCATCCGCGCGGCAGAAACTTCCGACGGGTCTGCGCTCATGGCGAGGGGGGAATCTCCACCGCCTACAGACCCGACGTCCTGGGGCCCCAGGGGGCGGTGGATATGGGCATGTGTTCGCTCCAGGGGGGCCGAGAATACCACCGCCTCAGATGCCAGGAAATGGTCGCAAACGCGCCGAACATGGAGAGCGGGCGCACTTCTGCGTGCCGTGTGGGTTCGGTGGAAATGGGCCAGCCCATCTTGTTAGAGGCCGTCCGCGAGCTATGTGCCCGGCAGGGGTCACGGGGTCCAGTCGTTCGCGGATCGACTGACAGAGTCCATCCAGACCAGGGCCACTCAAACTTTGCAGGATCCTGCACGCTAGCCCGGGTCAATCCGACCCTGGCCCCGCAGGATCCTCCATGATCCAGCGCTCTGGCGGAATCCCAGTGTGCCTTGACCCCCTTCTCGAGGCTACCGAGGCCGTCCGCGGGCTCTGGGCTCCGCCGGAATCCAGTCGTGGACTCGCCAGGCCCACCAGTCATAGCAGAGCTCACGCCGGACGGACCTCCCGTCGGACCTGGGGCAGAAGACCCTCCACCGGCCCAAACCGAAGAACATCCGAGGGTGCCCTCCCCCAGGATGCACAAGAACATCCAACAAACCTGAAGAACATCTGGGGTACCCTCCCCGAACCGACCTCGATTCTGTACCTCGGTCCGACCCTGGCCCAGGATCGGGACCGGCACCGCTAACGGGGGGGATCCACTCGGCGGCGCGCCCCGCGAAAGAAGGCAGACAGGCGGGCCTTGTCCGAACGCTCAAGAGACCTCCAGCCTTCCGGGAAGCGTTCGAAGCTACATCGCCGGGGCCACAGGTGATGAGCAATCCAAATACCCCAAATCCTTTTGGAGGGGACCTACGTTAGGAGGGACAAAAACATTAAGGATAGGGGGTCTTGCCTGCAGATGAATCAGACAACCCCGACCAGATCTTTTATCCCTAATGCGCAGACGGGGATCTAAGCGAGGCCATGTCTTCATCGCGCTACCAAGTTTAGGGGTTCTCTTGCTCTCGATGAACAAGAGCCTCCAAAGAAGGCCGGAGGGCCTGAAGGCTTCTGAGAAGCCCCGCCGCCTTCTGGCAAGTCCTGTTTGCTCTTACCTCCTTGGCCGGCTCGCCGCCGACACAAACGCGGGGAGGGGGTAAGCGAGCGCCCTTCTGGCACCTCGAAGGCCCGCGGTGGCAGCCCATGAGGCCCCCCGGGGGACCCTCTCAAACCATCGTCCCCGAAATCCTTGCCCCCCCCCCGCCGAGGCGCCCAGCCTTGGACCTCCGGTTGGGGTGCGCACCGAAAGGCCACCGTCCCCGGGGAGACAGAAAAGTAACGATACCGTTACTCCGCGGCCATCTCCTGGGGCGCGCTCTGACCAGCATTTCGAGGCGACCCCAGCGGTGGCAACGAGGGCCTCCCGGGAGGCCCAAAAGGGGAAGACGAGGCCTGTTCCTCCTACGAGTTGGGGTGCGCCCCGACGGCCACCGTCCCCAAAGTCCTCGACCCCGCCGCTGTGCATGGCCCCCCACCGCCGAGGCACCCAGCCCTCGACCTTCCACTGGGGCGCGCCCCGACCAGGACTGCGGGGCGGGCCCAGCCTTTTCGATTCAGGCCTCGGGGATCTCTTGCAGCTGGGCTGCAGCGACAGGTTCGGGGTCCTCCTGTGGGCAAGCTCGCTGGCGCACTGCGATGAGGTGCGCGCGCTTGGCGTTCGAGGGGCGCTGGGTGCGATGCGATGCGGTGCCAACAGCATGGGCGGATGGGGACGACGACGGCGAGCAGGAGAAGGCGCAGGCGCGGATGAGGACGAATGACGACGTCGACGACGACCACGACGACCACGACGACAACGACGACGACGACGACTACACATTAATCTCGTCCTTCCCCCTTCATATTCCAATTCCATCTCCGATTAACCACCCAAAGATCCACCGTGCATCAAAT